TTTTACTTTAACTTAACTTTTTATTTACTTCTTCTAAGACGACGTCTCTCTCTCTCTCTCTCTCTCTCTCTCTCTCTCATCATTTCGCGAGGACGCTTCAAGAATCGAAATCATGGGCGGTTTCCCATAGCAACCCTCCTCATCCGCGAAGAACTACCAAGATGCCATGATGAGGCTTTATTGGGTCGGATTCACTACAATATGAACCTGGATTTGGTAAGGAGTATAAGATCCAATATGAACCCGAATCCGACGGTTGCCGTGTTATCGTTTGGGTATGGGTTGGATTATTGGGTTTCTTTTTAGCTCTATGAATCCAATTCTCGAAACAAAAATATTTTTTTTGAATTTAATCGCTTACGATTGGGATCTCAGACTATAAATAGAGTTTCTCTGACAAATTGATATTATGATTTATTATCATTATTATTTGACTCGAGAGGGGAATTTCTTTTTAATTAGTTAAAGATTTAAATAAATTCACTTTTGTTTGAAATTGAGGATTTAATGTCTGTCTACTCGACATAATGAATGATGATTTGAAGTCTTTCATTTCAAGATAATAGATAGATAAATGGCTCTTATTTTTGTGTAGGAATCCAATCCAAGTAGCTTCCCCAGTGGAATGGTTCAGCTTGTGAATAGGAGGAGGGAGTTGGGAGGGCTATATCCGGAAGGGAGTGGGAAGATATGCTTGAGTCGTAGGGACCATCTTAAAAGAAGAAGAACAAGTGTTTCTTGAGGTGATCACAAAGTCTCAAACAAACACTTGTTTGCAGGGGGGATAACACTCACTGTCTGATCCAAAAGCATTGATGACTCTCCACAGGACCCATGGATTGCATCTTCCTCGCACCAGCTGTTTGTTTGCCTGTAGCCCTTCTCATGATCATGCCATTAAGTGTTTCTTTACTAGCAAATATCATTGGGAATCTATAGGTATCCTTTTTTTGCCAAAGAAATTATTGTACCTTTCGTACAGGTTTGTAGAAACTGCCGTGGACTGGAATTGACGATTAAGATGGAAGAATATGTCATAAATAATGTCTTAAGAATAGAGAAGGACAAGTCAACTATGATATGTACCACGCAATATATTAACATGCTTTTATCATGTCTCCATGTTTGATTTCTACTAAGAAACAATTTTTTTTTTTTTAACTTTGATTATAATATTTTTAATTAAATCATAAAAAGAGGATGATTTTCTTATTTTGTTCATATATATATATATATATATATATACAGTGAAGTAAATTTTTTGGCTCCACTGTTATGGAATTAGCCTATAACAAATAAGAAATAAAACAACCCTTGAACAATAAGAAGGTATAAATAAGGGCAATGGTTTAATATCCTAGGGATCAGACAGAAGAATATTGCATCATAAAAAGCATGATCAATAATTTTAGCTTTTCCAACTGAGATGGCCACAGTTTGATGGTAGTTTATGCATGGTTTAATGAGCAGACGCAGAATTAAATGATTTTTTTGGAGGGGCTAACTGATAGCATACAACCTCATATAATCCTTAGATTTGCTTCAGTTGTTCAAAATATTGCCACACTATAGATTTCAGCATTCACTTTCTGGATTGAAACAAAGTGATATCATAATTATTGAATAATTCTTCCTAGGAAAAAATAAAATACATTATTCAAACAGAAACAAGAAAAATTTTGTGCTTGACAGTATAGCAAGCTGGAAGGGTCTAATGATCTCTGATTTAGCTGTCCTGTAGGAGTCACTACCTGCATGAATACTTTTGGCACAAAATATACAATATTTTGTTGTTTCATATTCTGTGTGATATTAGTTGAACTTTAAAGAGTTGAATAAACATGGATTGCACAATCATCAATGCAACAGTTAAAACAATAGATGGGAGTTACAACCTTGAGTACCCCTGTTGGAAATGGAAAACTCAACCCATACTAAGGTTCAGAATAAGGATACAAAAGTCCATAACTATGAATCTAAGTTCCTCACAAGTTGACCAACTTAACTCACCTGAACACATAGGAAAATAGGTTACAGCAAGAGATTGTGATCATGCAGGTTTCAGAAATGTACACCTTCCACCTTTAAGAAAACAGAAATTGTACAGCTATTCCGCACACAAGGAAGAGTATGGAAATGAGGCTCGTACGTATGTGGCCGGAACTTGAATCATTCTGTGACCTTGAGACATTCTCTGACTGTGGGGCATTAGCAGGACAGCTAAGCCCTTCCTTGCCTTCTCGGCACTCACTGGCAAACAGACCTGGAGGGTACCTCCCATAGAGGTTAATGTAACTGAACATGGTTGATGCACAATCGTTCGTCAAATCATTCAATTCCTCAGCATATGGACATGCAAATTCCTTGAGAGCTTCACAGCAGAATTTGGCAGGGTACTGGGGGCCCTTGCACTTGCTTGTGATGATTGTGTAGTTCATAAATTCAAAGTTCACAGGGCAACCTACAGATTTATATATGATAGAGTTAAGATGTCAACTTTAGGTCAAACAGAGAACTATACAACAACCAAAATGATATACATGCTCTACTTTCCATTTTAATGATCTGTTTTCATGTTAGAGAATATTTTCATCACAAAGCTGTAGAAAATTGACAATTGGAACTCGAACTGTGCTAGTGTTTCAATACGAACAGTCTTGCAATTAATCACTAGTTTGTGACCTTGATCCACTAAGATCTTTAACCTTATATGTGGTACCTATCTGAAATTACACGTGCATTGGAGTTTGCTTTTTAGGTAGTATGGTTTACCTTAAAATACTAATATGAATAGACCCAGCTGTATCCTTGATAATTCATTGCCAAGTTCTTTAATTTTTCTAACGGCCCCAATTTAACATGCTCAAATTATTATAATCATCCATTTATTGATGAATGAACCAGCAATCATGCTTAAATTCTCACATTAGCGACACTCTTCTTGTACATCATATTCCCATGATTGCAAGTTTAATTCTTCAAGTCTTCAGTTCCTTTCCTCATATGACTCCTTTAAAGATATTTAAGATCAACTTTGTTCTTTAAGCAAAATATACCGTAACAATCTCAAGCAAATCCAGATAAAAAATGCAAAAGAGAATATTGCAAATTATAACCTTATTTGATGAGACAATTACTGAGAATCCTCAGTTGCCACAAATCACATTTAGGGCTACTCTGCCTTAGCTTTAATGTAAACTTTTCCAAATTCTTCACCATGCAAGAATATGTAGCCAGTTTAAAAAAAGGTTCTACTTATAAATCTGATCTTATGACATCAATTAGAAAACAATTAATCAAATTTTTGAAGAAGCTTGAGCAAAGTGGTGCTGCTCATCTAGTATGAGGCTCCAGTGTCGGTTGATAACTTAAGTAATTTTCATGGCATTTCATAACTCTTAACAAAAAATCAAATGATGTTGTTACCATATGCAATAGCAAAGAAGTTACTAACAATATAGTGTTTAAGGGTTTATGACATCCCAATTAAGAATTATGATCTTTGGCTCCTATCAAATCCCAGCCATTTTTGCCTACCTCAACACAACACTAAAGGTCAATTTTATTCTTGCGCGATCAGGTGTTCCATGTAATCAACAGAACCACTCCATCTGTTGGGAACTTGTAACTTCATCATGTATCCATAGTTAATAAGGTCTGTGAATCCTGTTCTGAAGTTAATTTTAGACTGTAAACCACATGTAGGGACGAATGATAACTCCTGGTGTTGCGCAAGTTGTAAGAGTAGGATCAACATTCTCTCATTGCCACAAATCTTATTTTTTTTCAATGTAACCACCACTCTTTACTGGCTCAAATAATCAGAATCAACATATCTGCAATGCCATAGCAGATTAACAATGCAACAACAAGACCATTGACGATCCTGGAGTATGTGGTTTGGTTTTTCTTAAGCTTTTTTATTTTTGCTTCAGAAACACTTAGAATTATTTGACTGATGCTATATAACAAATTAACAATGCATTGCAACAACAACAGCATTGATGATCCTGGAGTTAGTTGTTTGGATTTTCTTAATCTTTTTCTTTTTGTTTCGGAATCACTTCTTACACTAATTTTGATCATCCTTTTAGCTGAAGTGTCTTGTATTTCTTCAGCCTAAGTACCGATGATGGGGCCTCTCAGATGCAGAGGAGCCCTCTTCAAGTTTCCATCATGGTTCAGGCCAATCCAGAGGCTTGGAGGCGACGCATGGAGGAATTATTCCCTTCCTAAAGGTGTGCCATTGATCTGAATTTTTGGCCTGAGTTCATATAGCAGCTACGCATATGTTCGATGTTTGGATTTAGGACTCCATTCTGTCTCAACCAACTGTTGAATTGTGGAGGAATTGCTTACAAGAAACTCTTCAAGCCATTTGTGTGCCTTGTTCCATGAAGTGGAAGCTAAGTAAGCCTACTCAACATCCTTTCATGTTTGACTAAATTCCACATGTCTAATATCAGTTCGATCAATCTTACGGGAAGATCTATCAAATAGAGGGAAAACAAACATGCAGGAAATAAATCTAACAATTCAACCAATAATCGAAGAGTAAACCCAAAAGGACGAGAAGAATAAAAGTTCCATTTTGAACCTTCTTCAGCCATCGAAGACAAATTCACAACAAAACCCAAAAGACGAGAAGGAAAAGAAAAAACAAGGAACGAAGATTTCATTTAATGAGCCAAAGGAGCGAATCTAACTCGTCTTCGCCTGTAGCAAGCTCCGGCCGCCAGATCCATGCGACAAGAACGCATCACCTATACCAGAACACCAAACACTTGTTTAACTTCGAAACCCTCCCCTCGCAAAAGGAATC